CTGATCCCTCCTCCTCTTCCCAAACTTTTTAATGTGTAAAATTTACACATGCGTTGAGCTGAATATTGAAAACACTTAAATAAAACTGTTCTTATTTGAACTATATTATTTCTTTATAAAATGTTAACATATGAATATACATGAATGTGCAAATGAAAATATGCACACTAAATAAACAATATATTTTGATTAATATACTATATCAAGGGGCAGCCTGACATCCACATGTAGATGTAAAGGGAGGGGTCCCAAGATTAAAAAGTACCACTGCGTTACATTGTTCAAAGTTGCATCAGGTCTGCTTCTGTGAAAGCAATTTTCCATTTTTCCCCTCCAAGTGGAAAAGAAAACCAAGAAGAGTGCTTTTTAGCAACAAGAGAGCAGGAGGGTTTAGGCACATCTTTTCTGCGGTTAATTTTCTATTTAAAAACTATTGGGAAAGACAGAGGGGATTCTGGATCATGTCTAGTCCATCCCTCACAAGTGGTCTATATGACTCTTAACTAAAAAAAAAAAAAATCAAAGCTTGGTGAGGTCACTTTTTAGACTGTATCTCCCAGAATCCCCCACCCACACCTTGTTATCATACTCCATGATAGGTTCTTTGAGTTATGCTCCAAAAATAAAAAACCCTTCCCCAAGCCATAGAGAAATTTCACAATTTTGTGAGGACAGAGAGATACCTAAACTTTTTTCTCATGTAGCCTTCCTCAATCTGGTACCTTCTAGATATGTGGGACTAGCACTGCTATCATCCCAGTCTCCATGTTGGATAGGGATCATGGAAGCTGGTGTCAAACAAACATCTGGAGCACAATGTGTTGGGGCAACCTGCGTTTGTACTTGTATCACCTAGACTGTTGCCACACTACAGAATTAATGCATTGTGCCACTGCTTTAACTGTTATGGCTCCTTCCTATGGAATCCTGGGATTTGTAGTTTGTTGCGGCACCAGAGCTCTGTGACAGAGAAGGCTAAATAGTACATAAAACTACAAATCCCAGAGTTCCAAAGCATGAAACCATGGCAGTTAAAGCAGTGACAAATGGCATTATTTCTGCAGTGCAGATTCAGCCTCAGTTACATCCAGTGTCTAATTCTACTAGCCGTTCAACCATTCACAGCCCTAACCAGGAGTAAACCAAAAGAAAGGGTTTGTCACTCTCTTTGAGTAGTGGAGGACTAAGTGGGTGGTGTGTACATTTCCTTATAACTCCCTGTTCTTAGCATAAAAGACCAGATAATGGAAGGACAGGACAGTCTGTACATGATGATCTCATATCAGTGGGCAGTTGGGAATAAAAGACAG